CCAGCCACTTTCAGCAGGGAACTGGCAGGAGAAGCCACCTTCTCACATTGATCGCTGAGTGCAGAAGCAATGACATTAACCTCTACATACTAGCTGTCTGCTCTTCCGCTGTCCTCCCAGGAGGACCTGGCTGGTTCTGAGGGCAAACAAATGATTGAACTGCTTTGCAGTTGGACACTAAGTCAGTCGTCGTCTTTGTCGTTTCATGTTATTTCTGAAACTGGAATACAAGATGTCCTCACCCCTGTGGATGAAAGCACAGGCCCTGTCAAATCTTTCCTAATGACTGGCATCACCCCATGACTTGCAAAAATCTGTCTTGCAACTTCCTTCGTAGCTCATCTCATACCTTTGCTCTCCCGCTTTCTGTATTGGGGAATGAACTTTCAAATATGTATATTTATTGCATTGTAGTCAGCAGTATCAAAAGACATTTGCTTTGCAACTTTCTGCAGCTTTTTTCTCAGTACCATGTTCCTCACCAGTTGTACCCCTTGGTCTCTACTATTAGTGCTTTCATTGTAGTGTGTTCATAACTTCTAAGAGAGCTGTGAGGTCCGACACGCGTTCGTAGGACTGTATCCTGTGCTGTGGTGCCACAGCTGGGACTTGGTGTGGGAGCTCAGCGTCTGGGCAGGGATTATGGTGAGAGCAGCGTGTTGGCTCTGGTTGGTAGCTCTCGGGCTAGCAGCTGCCCTGGCAGTGCGCAGAGAGCGGCCGTCATGCTTCTGTGGCAGTACAGCTTTTGCCATGCCTGTCTAAGGACACCGAGATATATGTGATGCCTGCCAGGTACCCTGGGGCATTGCTGGGAATGTGCTATGAGCTGCAGCCGTGTTGTCCTTTGAGCATCTCGCCTGCAAGCGAGGTGGGAGGGAGACACAGGATCAACCACCAACCATGGTATTAGTTAGCAGGGTGTTTACAGCTCTTGGCTTCCAATCCACAAATAGCCATGTCTGTTATGATTAATGGATGATAATGAAAGGAAAAATGCTGGCAAAGAGGCAAGCAGGCATCAGGCACATCTGTTCGCCTGGCAAAGGGTTGCTAGGAGAGGAACAAGGTGGATCACACGTGCGGATGCCTCTTGGAGGCATCTACCTGTTTGCATCTGCTCTGCCTCTGAAGACTCAGTTTGTTGTCAGCTCTGCCAGGCTGGCTGTGATGTGCCGTGGTGTTGAATCCTGGGGTGAAGTCATTTGTGTGGAGGCAGGGAGTTTCCCTTTCCTTGCTATATGATCAGCATACGAAGAGCATGGTAAGCCTGAAGAGTTTGGAGGGAAAAGACGTGTGGGCAGGAGTAAAACTGGGAAGAGATAACACTTGGTCTCACTAGAGGAAAACCACATAAAACATGTAGCTGCAGGAGAAGGTTATGGAGTTTTTAACCTGTGTATGTTCTGTGTTTTACTGGGATGGTTCTGCAAGAAATAGTTTTCCTAGCTGACTAACTAATTTAATGGAAAAAAACCCCACAAAAACAGGTGGAGAGACACCAACAGAAGTGTTGTTGGGGGAGAAGCCTCCAAAAAAGGTGTGAGAGGAGCAGAGCCAACATCATGCCCAAGACACATTGCGTAGCAGCCTTGCAGAGCTCCCACAGAAACGTCGAGTGCTGCATTTGGCTCTGTCTCCTCATTCTCTCTGTGCCATTCTTTGGGAATGGGCCAATATTGGTACATCTCAGACAGTTATAACGCACCCAGGGACATTTCTGTTAAATCAAAAATGAGAAGGGTAAATACAGTTTTCATAATACCCAAGGAAAGCTCTGGGTGACTAATAATACATTATATCAATCCTGTGGGTAAGAAGATAGGAACACACTTAAGCAATGATATAAGCTATTCAAATAGCTAGCACTCAACTAGTTAATTAATGATTGTACAGCTTGTGAATCAGTGAAACATTTTTGGTTTCAAGTCTGCAAAGGTTATTGATTCAGAGCTTCCATTATTTCCTAAGAGGTACTGGTACGAATTTTGGAAATGTCCCAATGTCTATAATCTGCAGGAAAATAATGTACCCACAGGATACGTTTTACTCTCCTGTATTTATGGTTGCAAAGAAAAATCTCTTGACCTAATAAATGAGGTCAAAGAACAATTTATGTTAGTTTTATATCCTGAACAGGTCCTCTCAGTGCAAGGAGAGGAATAGAAGATGAGATGATGCCCACGGGGTGCTCTCACAATCTCATATAGGGCTTCTCTCTTCTGACGTCTGTGTCCCGGGCTTCCTGCTCTCATCCCTCCCAAACCAACACAAACCAAAGAACGTATGAAAGAATAGACCCAGCCCAGTGTGTCGCCTGAATGCCAATCGCTGTTGCACTGCGCAGCGGACATAGCATCCAGTGCAGCCGGCACACAATGGGATTCAGGTCCTCATTTCTTTGGGAACAGAACAACCATTTCTAATCATAATTTCAGAATATTTATTTTAAATTCTTTTCTATTGTCAATAAAGTCTATAGCTAAGACTGGTAGATGCAGTGTCTGATTGGAGCTGGAGACACTTAAGTGAAAAGGTACAATCCCAGTCCTCAAGCTTAGTTCTGATGCAGTGGCAGTGTTTGCAGCAGGTTCCAGACACTCACTACGAAGCGCCTCATCAGTGCAGAGTTATTTATTCAGGCTCTTTGTTACGTAAAGCAATTCATCTTAAAAGAGGAAGAATACCTCTAAAGGTAACAAGAAGTGCCATGTTTTAAAAAGCAAATTGTAATTTTGGGCACACGATTTTTGCGTGGTCATTTTAAGACACTGTAAATGAACGAGGCTCCGTAAATTACTGATCTCCCTGTCCTCTGAAAATTGGCTGCATTGGAGTCAGGCAAGAACCTGGCTCGGCTCAGCTCAGCTCTCGGGATACAGGTGACACCAGAGGTAAAACTGCCAAACGTTTCGGAGCACTCAGTGGTGGTGTTCATTGCTGCTCTACCTCCAAGACAGCAGCCCAACTCGGGGGCACCCGTTATGTTCAGGGTGCCGTAGCTAAAATGCAGTCAAGAGTTAGAAGCTGCAGGGGCTCTAAAAGCTCTTTTGCGTGTGATGAAAATGATTCTGGTACCTTAATAAGGTACCTTTAGTAATATTTTGTGAGGCAAGAAATTTAGCTCCTGGAAGACGCATTAAGAGGTACTAAAGGTAGAGGAACAATAACTTGGTAATGTTTTCACGTATTTCATTACTGGTCACTGACAATGAGGCTGTGACTCGAGATAATTTTGTGGCATTGGAAGGAAAGCTGTTTAGGATGCCTTTGGTTCATTAAGGCGAGCAAAAGATCAGAGTGGGAACTCTTAGTGGGTGAGAGTATTAAACTCTTATTTACCAGCAAATAGCACCTTCTGAGTCAACATTTATTTACATACTTACAAGTCTAGTCATATATTGCTGTGTCCAGAAAATATTTGGCTGCCACTGTTTCTTTTGGACACTCTATGCTTAAGAAGATTTTCAATTTATTTGCTAGTCAAGTGAAGTCTTGTCAAGAATCAAGACTTTTATATAACGTTCATTAGTATTCTGCACGTCTAAGTGGAATAAATATCTAATCTTTGCCTTACCAGAGAACGAGAAGGAAATCATTTGGCAAAAATCTCATCCATCAACAAGATCTATTCTCCTAACACTTAGCAAAACTTTAAGTGCCTAATGCATTTACTTGTCTTTTTAGTTCCATCACTCTACTACTAACAGCTACAATTTCCTTTCAGCAGATCATTATATCACATTGAAATGAATCAAACACTCTGTTTCCAAAAATAAACGGGTTGTTTGCTCTACAGATGTGGGATCTGTATGTACAAAATAAGATATATTTTTTTTAAATCCGTTTTTGGAATGTATTTGGAAATCTTTCTGCTGACTTCAGATTATAATACTTTCAGTTTTGGGTTTTTTTTTTTTCCTGAATTCCCATGATGGAATGGGCTTTTAGGAGGTGTAGTAGATAAGGTTGCATGTACAAGAGGTGCTAAGAGCTATGTGTAAAAGTTGTTTTATGGGGCACTGAAAGAGTAAATTGTGTTTGTAATCCAGAAACTACCAAACCTTTCTGAGTGCCATCTGCTGGTTAATTCACTATTTATATACATACATATACATGCCTCATACTGCGTTTGGTAGCTCTTTGAAGGCACCTCAAAGGGGTTGGCAGTCCAAATGATAGTAAGCATGTCACAACATAAAAGCTCAATTGCTAGTCAGTGGAGCTCTTCATGGTTCTCTTGTGTACGAAAGCTATGACCCCCTGGTCTGTAACTACCTAGTAATTCATGCTCAACTTCAGAGAAAATCACTGTGTTACTCACAGCCATCTGCATTCTCTGCCGAAATGTTAGGCACCAACAAAGTCCGTAAACCTCTAGTACTGAACCGATGGCAGCAGGTGTACTAGAAAGTCACTCGTTGCATTTGTTGCAGTGTACCACCAGAGAATTATGGCACCGCTGCATATTAAGGTCTCACCTTTCTGTGATGTCGCTTTGTGTTTGGTATTTTTCCATTTGAGGAAATAGATGTTAGCGTCACACACTTGGCACTAGAAGATATATACTGTACATTCAAGCAAAACTTGATACTAATATAATTTCCTTAATGGCCTTCAATTGGTGTATATCACTTCACTTCTGCGTAAGCGATGGAGCAGAAAAGGAGGAGTGCATTAGCGGTAATGTTGCAACAGGAAGCACATACTGAGGCAGTAGAAGAGTATCCTTAACTATGATTTGAAGCTGTAACATCTGGACGCACATTTTTTTCCTGTTCCCTATATTCATTTTTAGCCAAATAATGTTGGGATACACGGGAAAATAAATTCCGCAGCACCGCCATATAGTAAAGTGTCATTCACTTGAAAATGACAGACTAGAGAAAAGACTCACTGTGAGCGCTGCATGAATCCTGCATGAAGCATTGGGGTGGAGGGTGGAGGCAGCCTAGCTGGTTCTTGCACGCTTCCAATATAATGTGTTCTCTGTTTTATTAAAGGAAAGCGTGGACCTGGGAGAGATCATGTTTTCCCTTTGTTATCTGCCAACTGCAGGTCGCCTCACCTTAACAGTCATTAAATGCAGGAATCTCAAAGCTATGGATATCACTGGTTACTCAGGTAGGTGCTCAATGGCTGAGAAGGACCCCATTGCATCCACACTTCCTCCTCCCTCAATGGATAGTGGGCATATGTCTCTTGATGCCAAGGCTGTATCATCACCGAAACACCTGACAAAGCTTTGTCCATGTTTTAAGTACGCACAAAATTTTAAAAGTAGAATTATCTTTTAAACCCATTCCCAAGGGCATGAATCCAGGGAGGGTGATTGTGTGTTGTATACCCAAATACACTGTTCAAGGAGACTGCCAGCGGTTTCCCATCCCCATGGGCGGGTTTGCAGAGTCAAAGCTCTGATGCATCTCTTGGGTTGGATGCTTCAGATCTGTTGCTGGTACTGACCCTAGCAGTTTTAGGTGAGTAGGGAGTTTTCCATCAGATAACCCCCTACAGCCAGAATCAATCATTTCACCCCAAGATTAGGAAAGGATCATGGGCCACCTGGGTAAATCCCAGGTGAGTGTGCATTCCTCTGTACAGTGGCCAGTACTCAAACATTAGGATCAACGTCACCTGAAGACTGTATGCATTCACAGTTCCAAAGAGTTGGCTTGCAAATTCAGCATGCATAAATTCTGGATTTCAACATAAAAAGCAGTTTCTTTTCCAGAGCTCAACATCATAGTATTTGAATTTCATTGATGACTTGTATAAAAGGCAGTAACAATACAGCAAAAGATCTTTGCAGAAAACATTTCTACTCAGTTGGAGCTTGATGCCATATGAAATGTCTGAGAACTGAGACTTCAGATGAAGCCAGCTCAGCGTTTCTGTAATAATACATTGCACGTTTACTGTTACTTGAAAATGCATTGAAATCGCCTGAGCAGCCATTACAGCAAACAGGAGCTGTTTGTAACTTGAGGGCATTCTGCCACGATCAGCCAGTGGAAAGTATGTGAAGCAGAGCTGCCCCAATACCTTTTCTTCCTGCTGCTCTCTGACATTGGGAAAATGGGTTTTAAAATTCCCCTGCTCACTATAACTCTGCTATGTAATGTTAGCAATTGGATAGTTTTGGTAGCAGTGCAAGAAAGGATCCCTGTAAAATAACCCATAACCCCCTCTGCCTGTTTGGATCTTCAAAATGCTGCATTACATTTTGCTCTCTTAGGCAAATTTTGAACAAGTTATGGTTTTGCTTCAGAGAAAGTGCTGGGTTTGCTGTCTGTGGCCATACAATTAACGCAAGCTAGAATGCCCGAGTGCCCAGTGCCCATTATCATCTTCTGATGAATATGGGCTCTTGGTCTGAGATGGGGCCTTCTTACACTTGCAAACCCTTATCACAGAAAAACTGATGGAAACAGTTGATTTTTCCTTCCAAGAAGACCGCAGTGCTAGTTTCTCCAGTGCCTAAACCTCATGTCAGCACTCACACCAGTGCGAGAAATGGTGGGTTTGATGGGTACACAGACATCCCTTTTTCTAAAAGTACATTCGAGGAGTGCCTTTGGCTCATGGTAATTTACAGTCCATGCTTTGATAATGCTGTTTCTATACTGTGACGGTAACAAAATAAACCTCCATAAACAGAAGGCCTTTTCCTATCTCTTCCTCTCCAGATCCATATGTCAAAGTGTCTTTGCTCTGTGATGGGCGAAGACTGAAAAAGAAGAAAACCACCATAAAGAAAAACACACTTAATCCCACTTACAATGAAGCAATAATCTTTGACATTCCCCCAGAGAACATGGATCAAGTCAGTCTGCTTATCTCCGTCATGGATTACGATCGGTAGGTGGCAGGCTCTGGAGAGCTGGAAGGGAAAACATCCCGTTGGGTGCAGATTTTCCTGTTCAATAGCCATTTTCCTTAGTATCACGGCCTTGATTGCACAGCTCTGTGGCATCAGTCTGTCCCTAGTGACTTATTGTTAAAGTGTCATTGTCATTTATGGTTATGGAAAATTACCTGCTAGAATAGTAAGTATGGTAAAGCTGGTCCTTTGCTTTATGGCATTTTCTTGAGCGAGTACAGTGCTCCCCTTTGCTATTTCCTTGTCCTGCAAACCGTCATCCCGTTTTACAAAGCACATGGTCTCATTCTGAGCAGCAATTGGTGCATGAATTATCCATTACTGAACTTGTACTTATTCTTGTTGTACACCACTACATCACACATCCTTCCAGATTCTGTATCTGGACTGATCTACTGTTCAAATCATTTTAAAGTTATAATTATTTCTGGCGGTGGCAGTGCCTCACAGTGCTGGGGGCTGCGTGCACTGACAGGAGCAGACAAGATCTGACTGTTGTCGTGCAGATACGACAGCCCATGTTCACTAGCACTGTGCCTCATGGCACTCTGATAACACGGGGTCAGAAGTCCCGCATAGACAGTGTGCAGTCAGTCTGCGTGAGAGATAATGGTGTTGCTTTTCTGTTGTTCTTCAGAGTGGGTCACAACGAGATTATTGGGGTTTGCCGTGTGGGGGTCAATGCTGAAGGACTGGGCAGAGACCACTGGAATGAGATGTTGGCATACCCACGCAAGCCCATCGCTCACTGGCATCCATTAGTGGAGGTAAAGAAGTCTTTCAAAGAGGTGCGTGGAGTTATTCTTTCCTTTTAATGCATGCGCTGTGCATGACTGGGCTGCTTCAAGGCTTTCAGAGAGCTTCTACTCTCACTTGGGAATTTCTGACAAGAGATGAGGGAATTTCTCACCAGAAATGAACTCTAGAAAAGAAGCATCTCTGTATTGTCTCAAAATAGCTCCTTGAACTTGCAAGCAAGCATGAAAGGGACTATATTTACAGATGTGACTGTTACCGTATTGGTTTTTCTTTTTTTTTTTTTAAATTAAAGATTGAGACCAGTAAGGAAAGAGAATGCTGTTCTGATTGCAGAATAAATTGTCCAGGGATATCGCCTATTTCAAGTTTCAATTTTTTCATCCTAAAAGTTTTTTCTGTTGACTCATCTCCAAGCCTTTGAGGGAGAATAAATAGAACAAATGTAATTGCTCTAAGCATCTCTAGAGAAAGAGATTCACTTGATGCAGCCCCAGATGATAAAATAGGGTGAAATGCCTGGGTACCATTTTGACCATCTCTGGCATTTTCTTCCGCCTTGCATTCCATTTTCTCCTGCTCCTATAGAGCTCTTTGGGTTTTGCCTGATTTAGGTCATAAATTCTGGAGGAGAAAGATGTGGAAAATGGCACACATGCTATTGACACTTTCGGTATGAAAGAAAGCCAGCATTTGTGGCCCATGATAGTATAATAAAGGCAATAAAACCTCCCACTGTATCTGGGGCTAAGGAGGCATTTTCCCTCAAAGCCACAGACTAAGTACATAACAAAAAGCATCTTATTTTCCCTTTGAAGCTCAGAGACTGAGCTCTACTGGAAGGCAGATACTAGGCTTGGTGATCCTCCACAGTAGTCTGAATTAGTGTGCATCAAACCCTATGTTTCTTTGAAATCTGCTCTTTCCTCTAACAAGAGTGCAGTTTGTGCTCAGCACTCTCTATCCCAGCTGATATTCATCAAGCTGGTTTCTGAAATTCAGATGTGCCCATCCCAGAGGCAGGTCTGCTTCATCCACGGGTTTCTTTCTTTCTCCGAGCATTTGTAAGCAGCAGCCGCGCGAGGTGAGGCCAGCCAGCCGCCCGAGCAGAGCTCTGCAGCGGTTTTCATTACTGCTGCCTCCCGTGGTGGGCATTTCTCTATCGCAGATGAAACACGGCTGTAGGGCCCTGTCCAGAGCCAGGGTTATCAGACGAATATCCTCGCTTCCTAGACCCAGGCCAAGTTACACTCAGTGGGAAAACCCGGCAATTAATATTTTAATTTAAGACACAGTGGAGATACATATATCAGATAATGGAAATCTGGAAATTCACCCTCACTTGGATTAGGCGTTTCATGATCTTATATTGCACCACTGTAAATCAGCCGTAACCGCCCAGGGTCAGCTGTGCAGAACTGGTGTAAGTCAAAACAGAATTAAACCGATGTGCAATCTGTGTATAATGGTAATACTGCCTTTGGGTGGTGAGCAGTACCGGGCTTTCATTAGCCTTTCCATGCTAGAACACTGGCATCGTACAATGAGCCATAGCTGTTTGGGCCATCTCACACTGCCACGGAGAGCTGGGGATCAGCAACCGCTGAGCTTCAGCATAAATGCTTAGCGATCTATCATTTGATCGGTTGCCTCAATGCGTGTGTCATCCATAGCACCTCACAGCATGATACCAGCTGCCACGTCTGACCCAGGGGCAGGAGTTCCTTCTCCGGTTTGTAATTTATATGACTTTAATACACTATTTTTCAGATGCAGGTGGGAGTTTGAAAGAAAGACTCCTGTAAAGTTTTTGATAATCAATAGAAAAAAAAGACATAATTATTGTGACGAAACTCAGAGAAACAAAGGCAGGCATGTAAGATGACTCACCTTCTAAAATATACTTTGAAAACCACGGCCGAGCCCCCAAGACTTTGGAAAAAAACCCCAAGTGAATCATTTCACCCCCCCAGTGCACAGGTCAGGAGCTCTGCTTAAAAGAAAAGAAAAAAAAGCCTCTCATCATCTGTTCTCGTATTTCTGCCACAAGCTGGTGCACAGAGCCAGCAAGCAAATGGTCCCTGTATTTATTTGCCCCTTTAAGTTTTCGCACTGCTGTCTGCAAATCCCTAGTGCAGCTTAAAAAAAAAACAAACAGAAAAAGGCACAGTTCCTGGACAGAAGTTAATGGGAAATGGTATTTGTTGGTTACAACTAATCGCATCATCTTTTCCACATGTGTTTGTGCATCTTTTAAAAGCAATTTGGGCTTTGCATCCTGTACCACCAGCGCCGGGTCCCCGTGCACATGGAGGCCGACCAGGCCAGGGGGGTGTGCGCTGGGTGGTGGGGGCCGAGGGTCGCAGCCGCGCGCTACGGCAGAGCCGCCTGCCAGCTCTGTCAGTCCAGGCCCCGTGGGCTGCCAGCTCCCCGGTCCGTCTATCCTTGAACGCAGATGCTGGGGGAGAAGCTGCTGACCCTCCATCCCTTTTTCACCCTTGTATTTTCGTGGAGGTGAGCTCAGGCTGCGCTGGCATCCCGAGCAGTCATCTTCATCTCCATCTTCATCTTCAAGAGCGTTCGCAGCCAGGCACCAGCAAATGGAGCGTTTGCTTTCTAGTTGATCCTCATGCTCTTCTCTGTTTGCTCTAGCGATTAGTAACAGCCTCTGCTGTACTTCAGTGTCTTTCCTGATTGTGTGCTTGATCTTAAACTGAAAGCAGGAAAGCTAGGATTGAATTGTCTTTTTGAATGCATAAATTGAGCAGTGGATGACTGGAGCTGTTAACCCGGGAGCACAGAGCTGTTCAGGGCCTGCTGCCGTCTCCCCTGTGCCGCTCTGCTGCTGTGTCCTGGCCCCCTCCTCTCCCCACACAGCTCAGGACTGCAGACGGGTGAAGAAAAGGGAACTGCTTTACTAGCCTGCACGTGTACTGCCCTGCCTGCTGTGCCTTGAAAAAACTCTGGCCAAAAGAAGGGCCTTATGCCGTATTTTGACTACAGCTCAGAATCCCAGGTTCTGGTGAAGTTACTGGGAAAATGGTCACCAGAGGCGTGTTGCACCAGGAGGACCTGGCCCCTGGCTCCCCGCCACAGCGGTGCGGGACGGACAGACAGACGCCGGTGCCCTTGGTGCTGCGCTCCCCGGGCCGGGCCACTGGCCTCCTGCGTTGCGGGCATGGCTCCCTGCCTGTCCAACGCGAGGACCGCGGGCACCACCGGGCCTGTTCCACAGCTGCAGGGCTGTGCTAACACGGCCCAAAGGCCTCGTTTGGGGTCGGCTGCGTGACTCGGGCCCTGTCTCCATGAGCCAGTGTTGCTCTTTCTTCTCTTCCATTGCTGGAATCTTTAGGGAAACTTGCTTCTGTTACTTTTCACATCTTTTGTTGCTCCATATTTATCAACAGTGAGTAACAAACTGTAAGGACTGCACTTCTTTAATGACCGTCATCATTAAAAAGCGAACATGTGCAAATGAATCATTAATTACAGGCTTCTAAGTACTACCCTCCTCACACAGCGTTTAGAAGGAGAGTTTGTGAGCAGACGATGAGAATCCCACTTGCTGTTGCATTTTGAAGTTATTCTGACAATGAACTCTTGCCCTCGGCACAAACCTGCTCCCATTTTTCAGCCCCGAGGTCCTGCTGGCACCTGCCGCTGTGCCTCGGCCTCCCAGGTGTGCTTCAGCCATCCCACCCGTTGCCTTTCTTCTGCATTTCTCAATACATCCATCAGCCAGGTTAAGTGATGTGTCTATAAAAAGAAATACAAAATTACAGCGCGTCTTTCCAGACTTTGGAAGGGAGTTCTGAAAATTGGAAATTTCTCTGTTATCTGTGAAAGACAAACTCTCTCTGATATTGCAGAGCAGCATCATCAGTGCAATGCAAAATGGGTCTTTGATGTTTCCAAGTCCCTCTGACATTCAGCATGGGAGCATTTATTTGTTTAAACTATTTCTCCAGATAAAAACCGGTAACTTTGCTGAGAGCGAAGTCATGCCCATAATGAAGAACAGCCATTTATCTTTAAAGATATGCAAAACCAGCCTCTTCCAGACTTTTGGGCATGTTTGACTTTCATTGAACTGTTCCTAGTTTCTGACTGTTAATTACACAATGGATGGTTCACCTTTTCTAATTAAATAAGGAAAAGTATCTCCAGGTTCCTCACAGCACACTGGTCACTTGAACTTACTCTTGGAAGAGTTTTCATCACATTTTTAGGGTAGGAAACATTGTCACTGTAACTGCAGGCAGAACAATGCAAGGAGCATGCTGAGGACTCTGCCAAAAGCCCATTTCTACTGTGATTTCTGCTTATCTGCTGTTTTATTGGTAATTCTTCTGGGGAGGTTGTATCCATATTATTAATTCCTCAGGGATTTTAGCAAATACATTTGACATGAGAAACATAGAAAAAATTGTTTTCTTACCTTAAAGTAGCCTGTTTGGAAGGACAACCTTTCCAGCTTCTTCATTCATTAATTTCTGCTCATCCCTGACGAAATATAGTCTGTACAATGCAAACCATTGTGGTGAGTTACTTTACACTGACTGGTCTCTTTGGGGAAGGAAATTGGCTGAATTCTCGACCCTATCTCTGCCCCTGCTTTGTAACCATCAAAATGCACACTTGTGAAGCGAATGATAAAACCCAGCCTCTGCCAGCTGGCTTCAAATGAACATGGACGTGCTCTGTGTGCTGCAAGGGCAGACCTGACCCAGAAAGGGCCAGCGCCGGTGAGCAGCCATCCCGTGGAGAGCAGACCCCGTGGCGTCTCACCGACCGTCACCGAGGGGTTGCAGCAGCCGGAGAGGCTGCGGGGCTGCACCCCTGGAGCGGGCAGGAGGCACTGCCACCCCGGCCCCAGGTGCTTAGTTACTGCTGACACTGACAGCGCCTGCAAATGGTTGTTTGGCTTGCTCAGCCTTCCCGTGAGCACCGTGCAGCCATCCTGGTCTCTCATTTTCAGTTGCGTTTCATTTGAAATGCCTTTGTGAAGGCAAGGATGAAGTTTGATTTGCGAAATGAGTTTTCACCCACAGAAGTTAAATTCATACATGCTAGAGCATTAATATTAGCCAGCAAAAAGTTTCTGCTTATGTAGGAGAGGAGGGAATTGATCGGGCTTGGGGGGGGGGGAACGAAGCAGTGGAAGTACTATGCCTCCTGTTGTCTCTGGGAGATGTCTATCATTTGTCATTTAAATTTAATAAAACAAGATGGTGAGATGGGCAAGTACTCAAAATGAGGAGTAATGGTTTTGAATTATAATAATAGCCCCCAAGGCAGATGACTAATAATTTATGATCCCGTAAGTATGTCAAAAAAATGTTTGCTACATCCACTGACTCTCTGATCTGATTTTCACTTTGAGAAATGTCTCTGGCACTGTGGACATAGCTTCTGTGTAGTCAAATTACCAGACTGGAAAGACTCAAGTAATTTTGCAATTAGTCAGTATTTCTAAAACAAAAAGGCAACAGTACTAAACCAGGACACAACAGAAAGCTAAACTGAGAGCAAACTTTGTCTTCATAGCACATACAGATACTGTTTATTTTTCCTTTTTTGTGAACAGTCCTCGCAATTGTGAATTGATTTACAAAGCAATAAAGTAAATTGTTCAGTAATTCTTCCTGAGTGGTTAAACGCAGGCGTTCAGTAAGTTGAAACATGCTGTAGAGCAAATGAGAAAATTGCAGAACAGGAGACAGGCAACGCAGTAAAGGGATGTGAAGAATTTCAAATAATCTCTCCCGTTTGCTTAGACTTGCTTTCTTTTTTCTCCCACCAGTGGCAAGGCCGGGCAGCGAGCTTCGACAGCCAGGGTTCCTGTCCCTCGCCTAAACCACCACCCACACCATGATACAGAGCGCGGCGAGTAAAATGGGACTAAACCAAGTTATTTTTGCACTTGGCCTAGAGTCTCAGTAATTTGTTGCTGAGTGGCAGTGGCAGCAGCAAGACTTTCCAGTCTAGCTGTTCCTGTGTAAGTAAAGGCAGAAATCCGTTCTGTGGTCAAATATGTCTTTGTCTAATATGTCTCCCAAGGTGATGTTTTTTTTGTGGCTTTTACTGTATGGATCTGTTTCCAGAAGAAGGTGGTGGACTGAGACATAAACTGGAAGTTTGGTGTGTAAAATAACATGTAAAATAGTTTTTAGTGTGTACAAAGGCTGGAAAAGTGCAAAGATGCTCTGAGTGTCTACAGAGAGCAGAGGTGGCCAGGAGAGGGGACACCTGGACCGGCTTAGAAGAGCAGCAGCCAAAGACGCGAGAGACTTCTGATCTGCAAGCAGCTCTTTACTCTTGTGGTCAGCCCAAATCCAGCAGCGTGTTCACAGGTTTCCTGTTCATGTAGAGGTGTTCATGAGCTGTTAGAAGTTTGTGCAGTGTGTTTCCCAAACTCCTTTTATCATATATAAAAAATGCCGTTGATTCCTCAGGGGGGAAAAACTGTTTTTTTCCCTGTATTTCAAGTCTCCCTAGAGCTACTTGCATGAACAATTTCTTAAGACCCCTTCGTAGCTGCTGCTCATTCCCCCCATACATCACCACGTTATCTGGAGTGGAGTGGAGAGAACTGCGTTGCCACAAGTGGGATTCGGACATAAAGGGGGAAAGATGTTACAGAAATAGGTGACATCCTTGCATGAACACTAGATTTTTTATTCCTTATATCATCCTAGTAATAAAGGGTGAAAAAAGGGATAAAGGGAAATATAGGAACACAACCAATACTAAAAAAACTTCCAAACTTTTTTCTTGAACTATCAGCACTTCTTAATGAAAAAATTTTCTAAGGCCCAAAGCCTGGAGGAAGATCAAGTTTTGAAAAAATGAAACTTTGCTGCTTCCTTGGCTGCAGAGGCCAAAAATGAAGTTATAATATCCCAAGTACTAGCTTTGCAAAAGCAGCTAAATCAGCTGATCTTTATCAGACAGCTGCGAATTTTGGACGCTTTCTCATTGTGGATTTTTCTCTGAGTTAATAATCACATTAGTGCTGTTTGTTCCACTGTAATTAAATTAAGTAAATGCAAATATTTTGGTTTTGAGTTAAAACAAAATTTGCTAGCAAGGCAGCCATTTCTCCTCACATCAGGTTAGCAGAACTGCATACGTCAGCCACAATCTTCAGGTCAACTTCAGTTTGCATTTTCCTAAATGTCACAGCATCAGCCTTCACTGATCATCATGACTAGCAGAGAAGGCTCTTTGTTTGCATTGTTTTTCTGGGTAAGATGAATCCTTTGTTCAGTGAAGGACAAGTACATAATTTCTCATCACACCTTGTGTCTTAATTCTCTTTATGTGCCACATGCTATAGAAGCAGAAACTCAATAAAATTATTTTATTTGTAAGTCTTGTCTTGTCTGGTGAAATACTTCCTCTTGTGAAAGCAGTAATTGTGTGTTACATGATTTTAGATGGTTACAGTAATCACAGCGGATGCTATAAAATGTGATAATAAAAGACCCTCGCATGGTATGAGGCACTGCAAGGGCATGATTTGGAGCAGATACTCCGTAGGCCATAAACTCTGCAGTTCTTGCCTGTCCTGGGACAGTCAACGCACATCCCTTGGGGAATTGCTGAGCACTAGTCACAGAAGAAAAAAAACATATTTCAAGTGCTTACAGTTCATTGAAACAAAAAGGTTCTAAAACTGCTTTCCAGCATAAAGAGTACTGCAGACCTCTACCAAAGGACAGAGCTGAGGATGCCCTTTTCGAGACAACCCATCCTTTCTGGGAATGTCCCAGGTCTTATTATAGGAAAGAGTTTCTAACCATTCAAAATAATTTACTTAGAGTGGTGGATGGTTCAAAAACTGACCGCAAGCCCCCTAAACCTTGACCTGAGCTGAACTGAGCCTCGGGTGTTTAGTGCCATGAATTGGAAGCGCCTCTTGCAGGTTTGCAGATCAAAGCACCTGTAACACAAGAGGTACCCAGAAGAAGCCACAGCAGTCCCAGCTGGATGCAAGGATGGCACTTGATAATCATTAATTGCACTAACCCACTCAAATCCTTTTCTTCTTTAACCCTGGCTTCTTGGTTTTTGGTGTTCTCTGTATAATCTGTCTTTTATCCATTCTTCTTGTTATCTAGGATTTAGTCAAAACATACGTGGGGTTTGACACAAAGCTTCTATTTTTAATCCTTGCTTCACACAGATAATCAATTTCCACTCAATACTGGCTGTCACTTGCATTACTGGAAAACTGGATCTCACGCTAGTGAATAACACCCACGCCTTGATGGCTCAAACCCCCTACACTTATATTTTAAATGCTGAGATTTTGCCACGTCCCTCAGTGAGGGGATAATCAAACCATTGTGTGTTTGTCATCGCCTCAGCACAGCCACTCGAGAAGATTGGTCACACTAATGGAAACGAGATATACCGTACAAATGCAAATATTTCCCTTTCATCTAGAGAGGGATTGTAACTCCGAAAAGGAGCTGAGCCTGGCACAAGTGCCATCTCAGGATTAGCTAAGTTGCCTTCTTGCTCCTCACTTTCCATGCTACTCTTAGCTGTGTAACAGTAACTCACAGAGAAGTTTAAATTATTACCAAGCAAAATAAGGAGGACCACCACAGGGCCACGTCCCACGGGAGAGTTTGCCATCGTGGGACTTGCGCTCCTTTGAACCTCAGTGCAAAGGCAAGCTCCACTCGCGCAGGGAGGATGCCTGCTGCTGTCGGTCCTGCTCAGAACCCGGTGGCTGCTCAAGGGCCTGCTGTACCGTGCCAGGCTGATGGCAGGGCGCCGGGGCGGGCAGTGCCGGGCGGCCAGATGCACCTCCTGATGCTTGGCTGCCGGGCACGTGGGCCGGGGAAGGGGACGCTCACAAACTAAGTACTGGCTACTGGTCACTTTGCAAAGTCTGCAAGCAGCCGCAAATGAATAGTCTATTTTATTTTGAGTACTGCAAGCAAAATAAACACACATGACCATTCCCAGACCTTCCTTTTTTTTTCCCCTTTCTTTTTAGTTTTAGCCTCACAGTCTCCAATTTCATAGAACAATGACTGACTGCAGGAAGAGTAAGAGACACTGAAGTGAGGACTGCCACTTAATGACTGCTAGTTTAATGATGGGGACGCAGGGAGAAGTGAAATCCCACGGGTCCGTTGCACTGCTCATTACAAGGGGTCAGAGGGCTGAGGAACTGTCCCAGCCAAGTGCCCTCCCACCGATTTGAGAACAAAATAACTTGGTATATGAGAAAATATTCCTCTGGAGCTCTTCTCCGATACTGGCTTCCAAGCTGATTGCATTATTGTGTGATTTTTTTTTCATACATCAGGAATGCATGGTTTGGCAAAGAGAAGACTCTTGTCATAACAATTTATATTTATTCTCCAAAAGTGGCCTTTAATTTCTAATTATGGAATGCTACTCACAGGTAGGCAAATCACAAAAAAAAAGCCAGTGAGGAAGAAAACAACTGGGTTTCATAGGGTTTTAAGAAATAAACAAACATGCTCTGTAATTATCTTACCAAAAAAAACCCCGACATAAATTTAAACTCAAGCCTGATGTTGAATATGTGTGTGTGTGTGTGTGACAGCTGCCATATTAAGGTTGGCTATGTGTCCCCACCTTTTACAGCTGTGGATCACTTACTCTACAGGAAGTTTTTGTGCAAATTTGAACAAGACTCACAAACTCCACATGGATGCCAGAGGGAGGGACTGGCAGACGGGGGTATTTGGACTCTGCATGACAAATCACTGAACTCCGTGCAGCCTCACTGAAGCCATTAGGGTGCTGGAACAGGCAGAGAGGGCAGGCACAGGGGCACACGGGCTATTCAGTATTCCTGGATCACTCTGATGTGACAGCATCGGCCACTCCAAAGGGTGACTCAACGGCGACAGACACAGGTTTCTGGGCACGTGAGCAACTCGAGCTGACCTGTGCCCACCGTGGCTCAGTGGAAACTCTCTAGCAGGAGCAGCTTTGTGTGCTTCGTTTTAAATTTTATTCTATTTCTTTCAAAACCTTTTATTTACGTATAATTCTTGAGTAGCCTATAGAGTATGTAATCACATATACTCAATCCCATACACATGCCAATCCTGCTTCAGTCTTTAGTCCAAGTATCTTCAGTCCAGATACTTTTGTCTTCACTTAGGAGGTAATAAATTAGACAGCAAATTATAGCTCAGTTGAGAAAAGTACAGCCCCGTTACTTGAGATCCTTATCTCAGTTCTCTGTTTGTGCTTCATTTTTTCTACTTTTGTCATTTGCCCTCTTAATCGTCTCTCTAATCCAGCAGTCCTAGACTTCTCGGTCTCATTTTGCTAGAGGTTTTCTCCCCCAGGGCCCTGATCATTCTTCCTGCCATTAAGATTATATATATCAGTACAGTTGTGCACTTATTTAAATGCTGGGTCAGGGATCTAATTTCTAGTTATAATGCATCATGCAAGGATGACCTCCCTGGGACTAGAAACTCTGTTTGTCATTTATATGGAGTCACAGCTCCTAGATGCACAAACCCGATTGCTTTGTTCTTTTCGGTCTCTGCTTACACAGCTGCTGCCGGGGCGTATGGGGCTGGGGTGCACGGCTCGGGCGGTGGCCGTCCCACCCCGGCTCCAGCCGGCTCGGGTCCCGGTGATCTCCAGCACGCCGTGCCCAGGAAGCCTGGGTTAGGTCAGCTTCAGCGTGGTGGGACCCCGCGGAGGGCAGGCTTTCGGGTGATGTCTCTCCGCTTTGCAGGAGCAGCACCAGTCACTGTCAGAGCTGCCCACTGCTCACAGTCCCAAGACACTTCATCTTGGACCAAAGATCTCATGGTGAATGTGAATACACTCAGCACTTGGGCGCTACAGACAGGGAAGAGG